TGATATTTAAAAAAAGTTAAATAGTGATGTCTTGTTAACGCTACACTTATGGTAATGTGGTAAATAAATTGGCATCAGTAACTACCTGGTTGACACTCCATCATAGTAGGAGGCAGTATTACACCTTAAAGATGGTTGCCCCCGACTTAAAATAGATGAATTTGACTGATATTAGGGGTGGGCGATATGACCAAAATCTTATTTCACGATATGAAAAATTTTATTTCTATTTTTTTTTTGTAATTAAAATTAAGAAAAAGAAGCAAATTACAAGCACAACAGAACAAATAAATATGAAATAAACTTAATTTATTCAGCTACGGTAGGCTAGGTTTGTTTAACATGTAGTAAGAAATATTACAGAAATTGGATAGTGTATAAAATAAAACACTGCATAGTCTTCACTGTATCAATCAAACATGATTAACAGCAGCAGGTAAATAAGGCTGATGTCCCTTTAAGACCTACTGCACTGATCCAATATACTGAAACACATGCGGTTTTCACCCAATCATTTTACATTTATTTAACATATAACCGACTGTGTTTACTTGAATACTCCACACAACGGGCATTATGACATGACATAGTGTGCGTATTTGACCATTCAAGCACAATAAAACAGGAACGAGATCTGGTTTCGCAATCACATGCTGTCAAGAGAAGGGCTTTCAGTGCGCTCGCTTCGGCTGTTTGTCAGTCAGTGCAAACACTGCATTGTTCTTTTTCACTGCTTATTGCACTTAATAACTTTATTAAACATAATGCACGTCCCAAATTCGTGATCGCATGCTGTCTGAGAGAGGTGCTTTCTGAGTGTGTGTCAGCGCGAGCACTGCATTAAGTTATTTTTCACTGCTTATTGCACTTGATAAATCTAGCAAGTGCGTACCACTTTTTATTTTCTCATCCATGCATGTTTCCTTAGCACATAAAGGTGTATAACGTTTAAGCAGTACTGTGTTACACAGATATATTTGCATACCGCGAAATACACAATAAAGCAAAATCTCTAACGATAGACACTTTATTTCACGGTAATGATATATACCGTCATACCGCCCAGCCCTAACTGATAACATTATAATTTTTAATATCACAGTAATATTGTTGTTGTGAATTCTTTCAGGTACAAAACAGTGTCATGAAAATGATTTTGAAACCGCCTTAATGCACACATTAGCTGTGTCTCATTTAGAAGGCTGCGTCCTCCGGAGGTCGCATTCGAAGGCTGCATACGTCATCGAGGCGGTCTCATTTCAGAAAAGCAAGTAGGACACTCCGAATGCGACCTTTGAATGCGACCTTCTTTCACAGGAATTCGGAGGATGCATGAGGTGTATCCTTCGCTGCTACAGATAACCCACAATTCTTTGCGTCGCCGTGAACAACCGTTGTTAATTTGAAAAAGCCCGGCGCCGGCAGATGTAACGTACACACAAGCGCAGATGTGGTGTTTACAACTTACCTTAATTCGCCTCGGTAAAAACGGATAAACTTTGTTTTTAATATCCTCCTCCTTTTTTTCTCTAATAGATGCCTGCTGTACGTAGGCTGCAGCTCCTCAAACATTGAACAAAATATAACAAGTAAAAGCATTTTTTTTTTCAAATTACTTTACAAATTTAGAAATAAATTTCCTTCATTTAAGTAGTGTGAGAGCGCAACGATGCTCTAAATGTGTTGGCATAGCAACGCGATACTTCCGGTTTCTTTTTCCGCCTGTCCTACGAAGGCCGTCTCGTTTAATTCTAGGTTGAGGACACTTCGTATATGCATCCTACAGAGGATGCGACCTCCAGAGGATTTGACCTCCGGAGGGTGCAGCCTTCTAAATGAGACACAGCTATTGACGTGTATTGTACGCTTGTGTATGTTTGATCATTGCCATAGTAACTGTATCCATGGCAGTGCCGTGGAGTGTCATAGGCACTCGACTGGGTCTGTCTGTGTATTAGTAAGCATGTCAGGTGGACCCTTTCCTCCCCGCTGAGATCCACCACTCTGTGCTCGTTTGTGAAGCAGGCATGCTAATTGAGGTGTCTGAATGAGCAATGATCTGAAAGCATCATGGGAAACATGAGGGGAGGGACAGATGCCGACATTATACTTGTAATCAATGTGAACAAGAGGCGGTTAGGGCTGGTCAAGTGGTCTTTAAACTACTTACCTTGGAATCCTGTCTTTGTATTACTGATGGTTTCAGGTGTAAGAGGTGTGGGATTGGAAGTGGATATGCTTAAAAATGCTTTTAGCGTTTATTGCTCCACCCAGAACTTTAACCCTCTGGGGTCTGAGGGTGTTTTGGGGCCCTGGAGAAGTTTTGACATGCCCTGACATTTGTGTGTTTTTCAGTATCTTAAAAACATATTAATGGCTAAAGTCTGATAACACTGTATTCAGCACAAACTGGGCTACAATAATATATGAGCAGCATGAAAGTACATGTGTTTTTGAGAAAACAATGTTTATGTGTGGTTAGTGAAAAACTAAATTTAAGTCACTGAAATAAGGCAATAAAACACATACAGAATATTTGTTCACAAGACTTTTGAGAACTAGATGAGGTAGACTTGAGTTTTTGCTGCAAAATTAAGTGAAAATGATCCTGTTCACTCCTTCAAAAAAAACAATATATTGATTTAACGTTTGTAAAAACATGTTTCGTGATCGAAAGCCTGTATACGAGGGAGTGACAATGGCCATGAATATTTAGTGATTCACACCTGAGAGACAAAGGGCCTCCCATAATGGGCCATCAATATAAATGTGACTGAGGCAGGTAAGAAAGAGTGAGGAGAGTAAAATGATGTGGGTTTTTGGTTATTATTTGTATTTTATTTATAATACAGTATAATAAAAATATACACAGTGAAGGTCAAGGACACATGATTGAACATACTGATCTGAACACTGAGATTTGATCAGTAACACACCTTTGTGCCAAACATTAATTTATAGTGTTAACACTCACACTACTTTTATATCTTGTGGGTTTATATGTTATAAAACATTAAAAGTCTCACTACGATAGGATGTTTGTTTAGACAATGAAATGACACACATTTCAAAATGTTTAACTTGATTTCATACATGTCAGGAATTATAGTTTGGGAAAAGTCTAACTAGTGAAAATGTGCACAAGTTATGTCACAATAACACAATAAAAACAGATGCAAGTAAACTTAGGCTACTCATCAGAGTGATATCCTCCAGTGGATCCAGCTATGCGACGCATCGCGTTGAGGTCAATTCTGGGTTATTTCTCTCAGCGCGTCTTCTTCCAGAAACAAAAAATAGCCGTGATGAACTCTTTACGTTTGTTTACTCGGAGGTGATGTGCGCGTTTACATGCGTGCTAGTCTCACGTGGATGCTTAGAATCTGAAAAAGTGATTGGCGCGTGGGCGTGACAGCATTAGGTTTAATGAGTTGAGATGGGGAAAACTGGACATTGCGTTGGTTTCATACGGATTACTTTAACCGAGAACATTTGTTTTGGACGTGACTTCATTTAAAAGTAGACATTTCAAGCTTTCTATACATATATTTCTCATGTCTTTGAGGCAAGTATTCGCGGAGATTCATGTTGTTTTATTTACGTGTCTGTGAAGAGAGGTGACCGAGACAGAGAACGCACCCTGTTTATTTTCTTTATTTTTTAAAAGCACATTTTGTTATGACTATACACAAATAAAAGTAGACCCTTTGCTGTTTTAAACGATACCTTATTCTTATCTGTACGATTAAAACTCAAGTATTTTTAGTTATTTTCGCGGTCATAAAGAAAATACGAGACAGACCGCACTGGTGCGGGCTTCGACCCCAGGGGGTTAAGAGTGGAGAGTGCTGTTTTGCTGTTACTGTAAAATTGCTTGTGATAAAGAAAGAAATGTGCACGAGCGTGGTGTCCTATATTACCCAGTTTTCCTAAAAAATCTTCTAAAGAGGGCATATCTTTTTGAGCCGTTTCAAAAATAGTAAAAGTGAGTGTTTTTTATACAGGTTTTTGATTTTCCACACATCTTCAGTCTATTAAATGATTTTTCATGTATTTTTTGGCATAATGGGTGTCTGGTGAATAATCTTTTCCTCTTTTTTTTTTGTTTTTTGTTTTTTTGTTAACCTTTCATCCATCAGGTTTGTAGTGCTTCATTGCTCTGAGCAAGATGAACTGTCAGGCTCTTGTGAGGTGTTGAAAGCTTGGGTGGTGGGTAATTGTTGGATTTGAAAAAGACCCACTCTCAAGAGTGTAAAGGTTTTTTTATTTTATTTTTTTTTTTTTTCAGTTTAGCACCTCCGAGTGTTCAGATGGCTCTACCCTAGCATAATGGCTTTCTTTTGAGGCCGCTGTTAACCCAAGCCAATCAAACGGTCATGCACACCAACTGCAGGCCATTTTAAATGATCGCGGGGAGAATTGTGCTCAAAGAGCTTCATTGCTTTTCCTGTTCTGCTTAAAATTAAGATATTTTGGCCTCCACTTGGATTAGTGCATTGAACTTAATTGGACTTATACTGAACAAATAAAGTCTGCAATTGGCTGGTATGTAGAGGTTTTAATATATAATGTTTTTTTTTTTTTTAAGGATTTTTTTTTTTCTTTTAAGGATTTTTTTTGTCTTGCTCATGAAAATCCACTATACAGTGTGCGCTAAGCAGCATATTACCATACCTAAAATTAGTGGCAAAACTACTAGTTACCAGAAATTGTAATTTTTACAGTAATTTTTCTGCATGTAGCAGCTAACTGACTAATTGTAAATGTAGTGGTGAATATACTACTCCCAACGCATGTTAATGTGCTCTAGGGTAATAGCTGCTGTTTGAAGAACAGCCGTCTTTAACTCACTGTGAGACTGCATCAGAGTGCCGGCTGTCATCTATGCCAAGAAAATGTCATACTCTCTCACACTGACTCAAAGTTTGATGTCCTGTAAAAAATCCTGTCTCCACTACTAACATTCTCTCTCTCTCTCTCTCGTTGTCTCTATTTCTCAGGAGGAGCAGAACAGAGGGAAGCCAAACTGGGAGCACCTAAATGAAGAACTGCACGTGCTGATCACAGTGGAGGACACACAGACACGTGCTGAGGTCAAGATGAGAAGAGCTGTCGAAGAGGTCAAGAAGCTACTGGTGCCTGCAGTAAGTTGCAAACATGAGTTTAAACGTACCAAACGTATTGTGCTAGTGGAAAGTGATTTGTTACAAATGTTTTGACCCATGAGATCTTCTCCGAAGACCTGCCCGAGGCTTGTGCTTTGATGTAATGCAACAGTGTTGGATTTAGCAAAATCCTTTATGCTGCTTCCTGTTCTAAGTGTGACATCTTTGTGCATATGGGCCGGATTTTAATTCCACCCCTGACCCCTGGCTTCACCTGCTTCCCACATATTTCCGCTCCATTCAACCTTTCTATTCTCTGCTCCTCCGTCGATTGCCGCAGGGGATGGGGTCGCTTAAGTCAGGGTCTCTGGCTTCAGGCCGTTTTGCCTGCAGTGAACAGAATGGCTGGACAGCTGCAAGAGCCTGTTCCCTATCAGGCGACATGGTGGAAAGGCTTCGACCTGCTGAAATCTGGCCAGAAGCAGCCGTTCAGCCCAGCCATGTGCCTCTCGCTTCATTTCAGAGCGGGACACTGAGTCCTTGGCATTCTCCGACTGCTCTCAGGCGCTCGCTTTATCCTGTTTCTTTGTGCAGGGTTTTTCCATCTCTCTCTAGGCCAGAACTCCCACATTTAGCCTCTTGTTTGGGGATTTTTTCCCCTTCTTTATGCTTGTATCTCTTTTGTTCTGTTTGAGAGAGGAGGCCTTAAACCCTCCACACACATACACACACACGCTAGTCAAAGAAAACAAACATACACAGCCGACTGAGTGTGTGTGAGTCATTCTGAACAGAGTGTGTGGGTGGGAGATGAGTAAATGGCTACATGCTCTCTCCAAATTTTTCGCTCCGACCTTATGCACCCCTGAGATCAAAGTCATCCTCACCGTGTATATCCTCCTTTGCCATAAACACACACACAAACCATGCTCAGGCTCTCAGGAGGCCTGTGTTTGCTCTACTCATTTGTTTCATTAATAGTTACACAACACTTTTGGTCTTTTATACAAAACTGAAATCTGTCCCATGTCTTGACGAGTTTGAATCAGTTCGCATAAATATTAGTGTGTTTTTGAGGTAGCACTTCCTGCTGCAAGTTTTTGACACTTTTACTGACTTGCTGTAGTAACGTGCATGTGATCATGGCACAGGGGTGAGTAAATGATGACAATTTTCATTTTTGACTGATGGATCCATCCAAGTTTTGCTGTACAGATAAAGCTCCTCTTAAACATGGTTTTCCAGCTGGTTCTGTGTGTGGCAGATTGACTGTAATGCCCTTTATCATGCCAAGCTAAACTGGATTAAATGACAAACTGTCCATCTCTTTAATGAAGGATATCTTGGGCTCATTTAGAGGCATGAAATTGTCTTATTAAATACATCATAAAACACGAGGTCACAGTCTGTTTCCCCTCGACTCTCTTCATTTTGTCATTGTGGAAAGGATTTGATTGGTTAGGGCATAGAAAAGGGGGGGGGGGGCAGTAGAGCTCTTCGAAAGAGGCTCTCTGTTTTATAAACATCTGCGATATTGATTTTTACCTACCTTGAGAGGCAGCTAGCACATTACCGCAAGAATCTGTAATCCTGGCTCGGGCCCTGAAGAGTTGCCACAGCCGAACGGTTCCCGTTTGCAGAGACCAAATTGAAATTTTCAGCCTTGCTCAAGGAATCAGTTCCACACACAGCATTTGAATGATCATCAGACTCGGGGAGAGTGCATGAACGGCGAGTACACGCGCACACACACTGCCTCAGAGGCCAGGGTTAGAAGGGGGTGATTGAGAGATTCAGCTCAAAGGCCCTGTGAACTTTTCAACTCCCATCGAGAGACAAGGGAGAGACACAGAGAGAGAGATTTGAGTTGAAGGTGGGCTGGTAATGAAGGTAGTAGTGAGTGAGAGGATTAAGGCAGGAACGTAATGGAAGGAAAAAGATAAGAATCGAGCCTCACTTTTGCATGCGGATCGCTTCCCACAGTTCTTCCACTCCAGTCTCACTTGTCTTTTCACGTACCCATGGCATCACACACATCATTTCTGCTGTCATGCGGATTTTTTAATTTATTAATATCTGATAATTTAGTGCTTATTTTATTTTGTTATTTAAGTGTTTTGTAATATTATCTGTCATTTATTGGTTATTTTTCAGAAATTTTAAATCAGTGTATCCTTAATTACAATATGAATATTATGTGTGTAAATTGATTTCTGTTATTCACTGCATATTTAAATAATTATGATTGTTACATCAAAACAGCTTGTGATGGAATAAAGATTATATTTGTTTTTTTTAATATACTTGCACATCTAGGTGTAAAACTGTCCCAGCATGAGCACTAGCATCATTTTTGTGGAAAAGGCATACCAGATACTGGTCAAACAGTTTTTTTTTTCATACCCCTGTCCTCTGTGTACCACTTCGCAGGAGGGACACCCTGACTTTGTTCATTAAAGTGCTGACACACAAGTGCTGACGTATTAACTGTGACCTATAAAACACACAGAGAGCCACACATATCTACAAATCCATATCTTTTTGAGTTTGACTTAGCATAAAATTCAGGTTTAGAGCTTCACACCATGGCCCACTGTCAAATTCAGTTTTATCTGGTTTTATACATTTACAGCTCCGCAAAAGATCAGTAACTTTAAAAGTCAAGTGTTTCACTCAGTTGGAGCAGAAGTCATAGTCGGGCTGATGAATCTTTCTGAAATGACAGTTAAAATTGATTGTTTCAAGAAGTGTGGAACAAATCGCTCTCTGTAAGCTGTGACGCTAGTACCCTACTGTCAAACAGACATAGAGGAAGGTGGCGACAAATGCAGGTGTAGATTATGGAAGCTGATAAAACACTAATTGTAGCTTGTAAGGTAAAACCCTCTCGGATAAGTTATGTCTTTTAAAATCACATTTTGTTCCATGAGCACTGAGTTTAATATTGTCAAGTTTAAAATAGTTCCATTCCATTGTGCTCTGTCCAGCTATTTCTGAACACAAGACGGCTTATGTGAACCCCCTAACAAACATGTCTGTTCTAATTATTCCGTTTCTTTAAGATCATTTACAGTATATTTTAATATAGAACGCACATCCCTGTTATGGCCATGTATTAAATGTGGCTTAAGTCTGTGTTATGAAGTGCTAAAAAAAAATTACTTGCTGTTAGAAAATGCAGATTGTTTTTGCTAAATCCATCAGTGATTGAGAATGGTATTGATTAAAAACAAATAAGTGATTTTATTGCTGAAATTGCATTTGCTAATTTCCATTTTAGTGTGTGCTGATTGAATGAGTAGATCAAGCCAGGTGTGTACTTTTTAATGCACTTGTAGCCAACAAGATTAGGCATCGTCACCCATTCCATGTATTCCAATTTGTTCTGTAATCATTTGTCTCTGAATTGGAGATTAAATTTGCTTACTTTCCCAGTTTCTCAACAATGTGGCCCGGTTTTTGAAGACCGAGAAAGCTGCACGGATTATAGCAACTGTGCTTACGAGGCAGCTCTAATCTCCAGCAGATTCAGTTACAAGCTCCAACGCTGCGAACAGATGTGTTGTAGTCCGTGGACACGTCTACATATCAGATCCCTGTTAATTTAATTTACTGGTTTATGCACCAGCCCATTTAGAGATGATCAGAGAGAATAAAACAGTACAATCCCTTCCTACGAAGTAATTAGCCTCTCAAATGTGTTAAAAACCTGACAAATTGGTTTTCTCATTAGGGGTGCTAAACCCAGGAGAGCTGACGCCCGTGATGGGTGTTGTGGATTTAGATGTTAGGAAGATGCTATGTGTCAAAACTGCCACGAGAGATGCTGTGCTACAAGGTGACATTCCTCATTTCCCCTCAAGGTGTGTGTTTGAGAGAGAGAGAGCGAATCAGTCTAACAAACAGCAGAAAGTCATTTCTTATGATTGACAATAGCTGTGTTGGAATGTGAGGTCAGTGTTAATCCTGCAGTCACAACATTCTCAGAGGCCCAGTGAAAGGCCTTCTGGGAAAATGTTAGATATTCACCCTAAATACCCCCTTGCTGCGAATGGTACGTTATATCCACAGTACCGTACTTCAGCATGCCTGATCCCGGTTGGCATCATTGCGCTAAGGAATGATGGGAAATAGAAGCTCACACCTATGACATCTCATTAAGAATCTAGGCCACTATGTGTCCATTCCCTTTATCTCAGCTAATTAAAGTGGCGTGTCAAAATATTTTTCTGGGTTATTTTAGTGTCAGCGCACTGGGTCGGCTGTCGACAGAAGCGAGCAAAGGTTTGAAATGAACGGTGGATGAAGACCTTATTTAAATTCAATACGGTACTGCTGATAGTTTCTTTTGTGGATGCCCCTGGCTATAAGGAACATGTAGCATTTCAGTCTCTCTTTGTGTTAGGTTTTTGTCAGGGAAGCACTTCCTGCTAGATTGCGGCATATCTGTAGTAACAGTTTTGCCTCCAGAGTTCAGTGACTTTGGAGCTTTACGTGGGTGCGTATAGTAGCTGTAGCCCAGCAGTCTGGCCCTTTCCTTTATTCCTTCCTTTCTTATTGCTTTCCGTTTTCCAGCATTTCGTTTCAACTCTGCTTGTGCTTGTAGGCAGAAATCGACTAGAGAACCAACTTGCTGCTCCCCGTGTCCTCCATGATGCTTCCAATATCTTAAAAGACCACAAAAGAAGGGAGTAGGGAGGTGAAAGAGAAGAAGAGAAATGGAGAGCTTCCAGCATCTCTCCATGAATGGGCTTCGTCCTTGCCTGTAACAAAGTGACTGGGTTAGCAGTGTTTGCACTGTAGCCTGAAGCCCTGTTCCCTTCTCTTGTCTCTTCCTTTCTCACACACGTACACACCCACTCTTTCACACGGTCTCTCTTGGCACATCTTTTATCCCGTGTACTCCAATAACCATCACATTCAGCGCCTCTGCCGAGCACAATGAGTCCCCAATCTGGAGAGGTTTCAAGCCTCTCGGAGTTGTCATAGGTGCTTTGCGTTTGTAATCTTTTCCCAATTCAGGAACGCAGTTAATTTCA